CGGGACGGAAAACATGAAATTTTGCAATAATCTTGCGCCACCCTTGCACAAAACGACGATAATTTTTCTAATTTCATAGATAACAGAAGACTGTACTGTACCCCCTGACTTTAAAGCTGGATCCGCCCCTGTTTGAGAATCATTTAATTTTAGAGACTGTGAACAGTTCACAGTCTTTCGGTTGTTGTTATTTTTGCAATCTAGTATCAAAGCATGAAATACTAGTGTTCATCTAGGTGGATTCATTCTTTCTCGTACTGTGAGCATTCGAAACCGCTGATATCTGTATGTGGTAACACAAAAGATACAGGTAACATTTGTAGTCCATTTCGTAGGTATAATAGCTGGCTTATTTCTAGACATGCCAGTCTATAGAGTGTCTCAACGATATTTAGTCATGATTATTTTTGTCTGTGTACATGAGTACCTCGTTTTTGTATATTTGCCTAGGTGGGTCTCCAATAATCAATCAGCTAAAACATGCGAAATTTGTTTAAACCACGCATAATATTTATATTTTTGGTGTGCAGAGAAGATTTCTTGACTAAGAAGGTTGGGACCGCCCTAATAGGGCTGGTGGGTCCCTATATATATGTTATTTTAGACTTGGTACCAAAAACCAAAAACCTTACCAAAAAAAAAAGATAATACAAAGAATCATTCATGCTTGTGGGGGACTCGGATGACCCAGTAGACTATGTAGGAATCATGGAAGCTGTTTGCTTGTACAGCTTGTAGCAAGTTGATGTACATCTCTGAAACCCTGAATATTTGGTGTGGATTGCACTGCGGGGTCTTAGGCCAATCTTCGTTGATCTTGAACAGTTCCGTCCTCAAACAGGGGAAGACACGTCATCAGTCAGCAAAGCGCCGTTCGGAAGGCGGCAATTTTCTCAAACGCAATCCGAACCGGAATCGTCCGATTTGCCAGCTTCCGCATCCGGTCCCATTGCTCCGCATCCGTTTGTTACATTTAACGAGCCAAAAATCAAGGTGATTCCACCCAGCGGAAGAGGGAGTCTGCTGATGCACATGCACGCAGAATATGCGAGCATTACGGATGAGTTAGAGACTGTCTGTGGACTGCTCAGTCCGCCTAGAAGTCCTGGTCTGCTGAGTCCGCCTCGGCCAGAACAATCGCCGCCAAGTAAGTTTTCATTGTGGCGGTCATGCGGTTTTGGTTTGCTGATGTTTTGTAGCATAGTCATCTAATCTGCTTCGCATTGGTTCTGTTCATGTTGACAAGTGTTTGCATCGTGCAAGGCTGCGAATTGTGTTAGTAACTTAGTGCACTTGATTATTGCGAGTAGATATGTGCACCATCATGCCTAGAATCGAAAATCAAAATGATTACTCACTCAACTATGCTAATATTGTCAGGCGCCCGCAAGAGGAACCCATCCGAAATGTCCAACCCGGAGATAGCGATCAACTTCGAAAAGGAGCATCTGCGTAGCGCCGAAGAGTGCGACTACATGGTAATGGAGAACTTGATCCAGAGAAGGTACGATGAAGAGATGGAAGAACATGAGCACGCGGATGGTGCAGAAGACCTGGGGGAAGGGGGCAGCGGGCCCGGCGGAAAAGGGCCAGCGTTATTAAGCGTGGTGACCGAAACCAGGGATTTCAGGTAAAAAGGCCTTCAATGCCCTCCTGATCCAGACCTGTATGTATGAACTTTCAGAGTTAATTCATGGCCGGCCAGACAGCAGACGCTGAAAAGGTCGCAAGCTGTAGACAGCGATCCAGTATCAACGCACGGCTTAGGTACCGCACAGTTTTTTGCTTCCGATGACGTTTTTGTGCAGATCCTTTAGCTTTTATCCCCTTGTGCTTTTTGTTAGTAGATACTTTGCCGCTTGTCTGATTTAAATCAATTGATCCAGGTTCTAGTCCTAGTTCGTCGACAGACCGGCAAGATTCAACAGAATCAAAATCTAGTTCTGGCGTCTCTGGCGGTCCTCCGACATTGAAACGGCCCTCGATAATCATAGATTCAAGCCAGTTACCTACAATGCAACGTGATGTTAAAAAGGCCGACTCGAAAACCAGCCTGCATATGCAGTCGGAAACTATGTGCTAGAATTCACTAAACTTGAAGATTATTTAATTTTCATACCAACTCATTCACATTTCCATTTCTGATTCCGATTTTTTACACTTTAGAGCTTTCGACAATGTCTTCCCCTATCCGTTTTCGTTTTTGGTAAGGCGAAGATCAACATGTATATATTTTTCGACAGCATATGAGATGTGAGTTTCCATACCAGAAGTTCATTCTCCTAGTATTTAGCCAGCACCTTCATTCCTTCTATCGTCTTTTCGAGACAATAATAAATCACTTTCACAACTACGAAATTTTTTGAAATTGAATAGGAAAGAACGTTTGCTGGGAAACTTTATAAAAATATATCTAGCATGTGATATTTTCAATATTGTAATTGATGTTCTTACTTTGGTTTTTGCGTTTACAATACTGCCAAGAATCGGATCGATGATTGTAAACCCCTGTACATTATCGTTTCTTTTACAGTTACCAGATGTTCTGAGTATGTTTAATTGTTTTATTGTTCACTTGAATACGTCCAAAAGGCATTTCCATGTGTATTGTTCAATTTTATAGCGTTGTAGTGCTCAAATTTAGTGCTCAAAATCTTAATAGCAATACTCGTTTGCGTTTAATCATTGGTAAAACTTTCAAGTGTGTATAAAGATACTAATTGTGCGGAGTCTGTGTCTAAATTGGTTTATAGAATGCCATCACATATCGACTTTGGCCACAGCCGGACAAGGAATTTGGAGATACTTATAGTACAATATGAAATCAAAACCATAATTTGTGCATTGGCACGAACTCATATCACAAATACACATAGTATTTTTTGACAAATACTTTTTAGTTAGCAGAGAGAGAATATTTGGATTGTAGAATACGAAATAAGCCGGTCTAAGTAACATCCGATATACGTGTTAATTTGTAACTGAATAAAACACATTTTAAAATATCTATGGATTTGATATTTCAAGAGTACTTGTTACCATTGTTAAGGTAATCCATATCCTAAATTTACCAATAAAGTACCACTAGCGGTAGTTCATTTCAGTCAGTTTGTTCCCCAATACTCTCCAATTTTCAAATCCCAAATTGGCAAAAAATTATTATTCCTACAGCTGAGTTTAATCAACACAAATCATAGAAAACCACTCAACAGTGCCAAAACAGATTAGAAAGAAGAGGTGCGGCAATAAGAAACAAATATATTTCAATCATAGTTAGTACAAGACATTACGCAAAAGTGATCATTGAAGAAAACGTATGAGCATTTGTAGTTTTAACTTATTATCTACTCTTAGATATATGCATCATGAATTGTACAAAAGTATCTCACAAAAGCATACAAAAATACTTTGAGTCGGAAAGGACCAACGACTAGCAATCTGATCTTGGGGTTTAGAGAAGCATCAGCCACGTGAATGTAAAGAATCGGATTGATGATTGTAAACCCCTGTACATTCTTGTTTCTTTTACAGTTACCAGATGTTCTGAGCATGTTTAATTGTTTTATTGTTCACTTGAATACGTCTAAAAGCATTTCCATGTGTATTGTTCAATTTTATAGCGTTGTAGTGCTCAAATTTAGTGCTCAAATTTAGTGCTCAAAATCTTAATAGCAATACTCGTTTGCGTTTCATCATTGGTAAAACTTTCAAGTGTGTATAAAGATACTAATTGTGCGGAGTCTGTGTCTAAATTGGTTTATAGAATGCCATCACATATCGACTTTGACCACAGCCGGACAAGGAATTTGGAGATACTTATAGTACAATATGAAATCAAAACCATAATGTGTGCATTGGCACGAACTCATATCACAAATACACATAGTATTTTTTGACAAATACTTTTTAGTTAGCAGAGAGAATATTTGGATTGTAGAATACGAAATAATCCGGTCTAAGTAACATCCGATATACGTGTTAATTTGTAACTGAATAAAACACATTTTAAAATATCTATGGATTTGATATTTCAAGAGTACTTGTTACCATTGTTAAGGTAATCCATATCCTAAATTTACCAATAAAATACCACTAGTGGTAGTCCATTTCAGTCAGTTTGTTCCCCAACACTCGCCAATTTTCAAATGCCAAATTGGCAAAAAATTACTATCCCTACAGCTGAGTTTAATCAACACAAATCATAAAAAAAACCACTCAACAGTGCCAAAACAGATTAGAAATAAGAGGTGGGGCAATAAGAAACAAATATATTTCAATCATAGTACAAGACATTACGCAAAAGTGATCATCGAAGAAAACGTATGAACATTTGTAGGTTTAACTTATAATTTACTCTTAGATATATACATCATGAATTGTACAAAAGTATATTACAAAAGCATACAAAAATACTTTGAGTCGGAATAGGACTAACGACTAGCAACCTGATCTTGGGATTTAGAGAAGCATCAGCCACGTGAATGTAACAATGTAACACCAACTGTAGTTAGTTCAAGTATAGTTTATGGATAATTAACTCTACTACGAGTACAACATTTACCAAACCTGCGTCTGTGTTATATGAATATACTGAATGCTCAGAAAGCCGATTTTGCACCGCACTTGCTGGAGGTGATGCTATTTAACAAACACTCTGAAACTCTCAACTAGAAGAGCTAAGAAAAGTAGATCTCCACATCCAGAAACAATTTGTCGAACCTGGGTCAACAATGAAGGTTTGAAGAGTTCCAGATCCAGTTTCAAAGAAAATAATGTAGTCGGTCAAAAGTCACATGAAACCCCTTTAGAAACCCTGCGGGTTTAGCGAGCACCATTATCTATAGGCTCATGTTATGTGTTTGGTTTGGAGGGTCGAGCCCAAGTGTAGACGAAGCCGTCTTGGCACGCTACTATAAAGCAGTCAGGCCGAAAAATCAGCGATGTTAGTCGTTCGTGGGCAATTTTCTTGCAAACCAGTGGTTCCAGCATCGGACACTCATCCAATCGGGGACAAGCCGGTGTTCCCACCAGCTGCAGAGGGTCGGAGCGCCGCTTGGCCCTCGGTCTGAAAACTCGTGTTAGCGCAAAAACCAAGACTTATTGATATTGATACAAGATCTCACCTAGGGGGGACCAGATTGTCTTCGGGCAATTCCCAAAGACATAACTGAGTGTCATGCCCAACCGATCCAATCCTATAGAGGGATTCGCCCTCGAGGTAGCAATCAAAGGAAACTGAGGCCACCCAGGATCTGTGCCCCTGGCCTCTGGCTATCACGCGCTTTTGTTCATTGGAATAGACTGTTACCAGGTCGTCCTCTCCACCTACAGCAATCAAGCGTCCGTCGCCTGACCAGGCTACACACAACAGTCCACCAAAGTAGCTGCGTGCTGTACCCAACAGTTCCATGCTGTCGTACTGAAACACCCGCAACAAGCCATCTTGGGTCACTACAGCCAGCTGGGAGCCATTAGGACTGAATGCTAAGTGGTTGATAGAGGCCCCACTGCCCAGATACCATCGAAACAGTGGATTGCGCGTCGATTTCGTCTTGCAAGTGTTGACCGAGAAGTTCTCACCGGCTTTGAATGGCTGGTAATTAGGAGCTGTGCTGCCGCAAGGCAGTTCCTCATTGTAGACGTAGAATTGGCCTGAAATCGGGAATGTGGGCGTGATTTGGGAGCTCAGAATGTTTTCTTGCATACCTGAGGCATGTGCAGCCAGAAACAGTGAGCGACTACCCGGCACCCACTTCAGGCAAGTTACCTTCGTTTTATCTATTAGTCGTTCCTCGTTGAACAGCTTACTAAACTCTTTTTTAAAAGGGTCTATTAACTGAATTTGCCCAGTAGTAAAACCTAAAATTATCAACTGTTTATGTAAACATGAAACTCAACTTGGAGTAAATATCAGTTTACCTATTATTAAGTTAACGCTCTCGCCCTCCACTGAAGCTTCATTGAAATCATGGCATGTAGGGTTGGTGCCCTTATAAAACTTCTTATCCAGTGGTTTGGTCAGATCTGCAGCTTTCTTGACGCCTTTATACTCATAGACGTAAATCTCTCTGCCGTGATTGAAGCATATTCGATCTCCCTCATCGCCCAGACCGACTAAGGAGACATTCACTTGGGGGGATGTCTGCCCCTGAGGCTGAAAAGCCACCCTATTCGGTCGGCAATACTCGCTAAGCGTCATCAGTCTGTAGCTGCCTTCTCTAGTTACAAAGCTGGTCTTGATGTCAACCGGCTCGGACAAGGAGCGCTCGAGGGGCCTCTCCCCAGCTTCGAGTAGGGCTTGATTGCCCAGATTATCTGCTCTTGCCATATTGGGTCCGTGGTGCAACTGACAGGATAGCATTATCAAACTATTCAGCACATGACTACTGAATATACTATTTATCCCATAGTAAATAAGTAAAAACTACATTATAAACAAAAACGAAATCTGTTAACTTTTCTGACGTTGATTTTTAGGTTGGAACCACAGAGTTGGAACGTTTTTTGCAATGTTGCCGATCCGAAACATTCAAATTACTAGGAGTTGGTGTCAATTCAGCATTCCTCTATGTTGGTGTCCCTGGAAGGAGAGATAAACGAGTGTCTCATCGCATTAACGCCTGTCATGAGACGACACTAAAAATCTCCGCGAACCTCGAATTGCGCGAGCGCGAAATTTAACCGTAGCCCGCCTCAGCTGACTGTCGAAATTGGCGCGCATCATAGAGAAAGTAAAATAAGTAATTATTTTACTTACTCTATGGCGCGCATATTTTATTGTACTTATGAATGTATATGAAGGCGGGCGCGGTTAAGTTGAATTATGAAGAAGATTGGAACAGTAATACAGTTTAATACATTTATTTTAAATAGTTACAAATAATGATTTATTTACATGTAAAATAGTAGGTAACTAATGAAATATGCATTAGTATAAATCGACAAAATGCTCTCTTACGCAGCTCAAAACAGGTATTTTACTGATCTGGGTTTTGTGGGACTCCACTCATTTTTTTTTTTTTGCTGTTTGCCCGGTGGCTGGAGGAAAAAAATCTTCACGAAGACACCCAGTCAAACCGAAAGCCTGGGTAGTGTTGGATTCCTACCAACTAAAAAACCCCCATTTTCGAACTAGGAGTTTTCGGGAGT